CGTTCGGGAAACTCGTGGATATATCGAAAACGAAAGTTCTGTCACCGCCATTTAAAAAATCATTTCATTTACAATCTGAAATTGTCAAAACAGCTTGTAAACGGTGTTTAGTATAAAAGTGAAAAGGAACAATTCGCGTAGAGTTCAAGTACTTCCGCAAAGAATCCAACACTAAAGAATACTGTACTCGTGACGGTAATCGTTCGGTGTCCGACTATTACCGTTAACAATTCGATCATACGTTTAAGGCCCTGTACACACTAGGCGTTTTTCAACGCGCGTTTAACGCCGAGCTAACGCGCGTTAGCTCGGCGTTCGACGAGCGTTAGTTCGGCGTTTAGCACTGGCNAGGAGGAGAGGTTCTGACGACTTCTGCGTAGGTGGCAGCGACTTCAGGCGTGCTTCTCGGGGTGGAGGCGTCAGCGTTGCTGGTGGTGGAGCTGCGGCGTCTCAGTTGTCGTGTCCGACGGCGGGGACGTCTTACCAGGGGAGGCGTGCTGTTGCTGTCATCGTCCTGGGTGCAGGGCGGGTTGGGGCAGGCTTCCTCGGTGGGCAGATCGTGGGTGGATGTGCTGGCAGGAGTTAATGGTGCCTGGACATCGTGGTGGACTGATGGTTGGCAGTTGCTGGCGCTGGCAGGGGCCTGGCTGGCAGCATTCTGCGATGCAAGGTAGGCTTCATCGAGGCCGTAGTCCTGGTGTTTACGTCACCAGACTAAGCCTAATGTTAGGCTTAAAACCTATAACTTAGAATAATTCTGACCAGGAGCTCAAGAGAAACACGTCTTACCTGCTTGAAGTCTAGACTCTTTCGCTCAGTACTAATACAGGGTGTTTATAATTAAAGTTCCACTTTGAAATGGCCGTAAAATGAAAACAACTGGACGAAATGTTATCAAACTTGGTAATAGTGTACGGGGCGTCGTGGGATTTTATTTCCCGCAAAAAAAAATAGTTCAAAAACTCCCCACCAACGGAAAAATGGCGCCGTCTGCAATATTGTTAAACGAAATAAGACACGAAGACATGGTTGAAAATGTTTTTAATCGGTTTTAAAACGCGTTACAGAGCGTGTTCAATGCGGTGTCGTAAATGTGTAAAATGATATCGTTTTATAGTCTAACCATAAACCGAATTATAGGATCTTTGTTTTGTATTATTTGCATTATTTACCTACAAGCAGTTGATTATCGGGCTACCGACAATAAAACTTTTAATAACGAACCCCGGATAAAAGATTATATCAAATCGACAACGAAAGGATTTTCGTTACAAAGGAAACAATTATTCCGCTCAATCGCATTATCGTTCGAAACTTTCACCTTTCCGCTGTAATAATTTTTATTTTTAATATTATTATTAAAATAAGCGCAAAAGTGAAAGTTTTCGAGTACAGTGTGAGCCGGATAAGAATGAATAAATCACATTATCATAATCTTTGCTCTTATACACAACTTAATATGATAAAATAACAATACAAGGTATTGCTATTTTATCACATAGATTCAAAATGTAAGTAAAGTAAAATCGGTAAGCATCTTTGTTACACTTTTAAAGTAAATATTTAACCCGCGATTCGCAGTTAGACTCGGACCCATCTTCGGAAAAAGTTTTCCGCGGCCGATACGAGAGAATCTAGCATCGCCTATAGCAAAACGGGAGCGCCGCCGTTATTTCTCTCCGATTCGAAAGATTTAATCAATATTTATCTTTTATTATCTATTTTATGAACTTTTAAAGTAATTTTATAATTAAATTTCAAAAAAAGTAATTTTTAATTAATTAAATCAGTTTGAGTCGGTCGAGAAAGAAATTCTCCAGTCCGATTCGCTAATATTTGCGCACGCGAATCTGACGTTTTTATTCATAATTTAAAATAAGTCTGAATAGACCCCCTGTAAAAGAAATATCGCCATCGATTTTGTATTGTAAACCTAACCTAAAATAGTAACAAAGCGCAACGAAAATCTTTGGCATCGAAGCGGAATCCGTTGGCATTTATTGTCTCGCGTAAAGGAATTTTTTTATATTCACCCAACGTATTGATCTTTCTTTGCGAAAAATTAAACAATGTTTTACAAATTTTGAAAGTATCGGTTGGTCGTAATTTTTTAAATGTCGTTTACCACACAAACATTCTTCGTTTTACGTTTAATTTTCTCTAAAAGTCGAAGGCAATTTCTTTTAAATTCGATACATTGCAAAGAATAACAATGGGATTTTTTGCCTTCTTCGATAAATCGACGGAAACAATTCGTTGTTAGAACCGGTACACGAAGCCGAACAAAGAGCAAACAAAACCTGTCAAATGTCGGGTACATTGATTAAAATTTATTGTTGCTTATTCCGCAATTCTTTGAAAGGGACAATGGAATTTTCTATCCATGCATCGCGGGCATAAATTAAAGCGTAGGCTCGAACTTCGTCACGAGATGTATTAAAAGAATCGGAGATATTCCATCCCGAAAAAGTGACTTGTTTATTCTATAATATTAGTCCGGTCGCGTTCTACGCGTCAAATTTTGAACGTAACGGAGGAAATGATGGTTATCGCGTTGCTGGCGTTTACTTTTCCGCGGGTCTTGGCAAATAAAGGTACGTTTGCATTTTTCAATATGGCGTCTTTGAAAAAACCACTTTTTTCGTGTTTTTCGACAATGTATCCACGTTAGTACGATTCGTATAAAATTAGAGGAAACTTTAAATTTTTGCAACACGCAGATTTGTTATACGGCGGAACCCGGTTAATTCGAATCGCTCGGGGCGAGAGTTAAAAAGTTCGGAGGTCGGGCTAAAAATTGAGGTCTCGCGCACGGGTTTTCGGTGACTGACAATAAACTAATGAAACGAAATTCTCCGCGTGTCGTCCAGAAACCCGGCCGACTTGCATTTTAAATTTCGAATATTACGTTAATAATTATTTCTTTTTCCAGAAATGTTTAACCAAAGCTATATTTGGAAGATCGCCGTACCCAATGTAAATATTTTCTACTTATATTTCTATATTTCGGTGGCCCTCTATTCTTGTACCGCGTGTTTTAAAATATTTTACGTCGTAGCCCGAGGATCACCGAGGAAAAACGTGTGGAGAAATAGTGGAAAACTCGACCGTACTAAGTGCGCTGCGGAAAAAATTAAATTTTAGGTAAATTATTTCGAAAATTAAACCTTTTTTGAAATACGCAATTCATACGTCGTTTAAAAACAGTTGCCGAGTGGCTCTTCCTACAATAAAAGAGAAGTACGAAGCGGGCCCTTATTACGTCTTGTATAAACAACTTTATAGAAAAGTAAGTACTCTCTATATAAATAAATAGAATATCAAATTTTTCAAATGAAATAACGGATATAACTGATTCTTTGCATCGTGTCACTTTCAGAAAATCACGCAGATAATTACTAACTGATTCCTCTTTAGAGTTTCATTGGCCGAACGGAAGATTCGTCCGTCAAACTAGACATAGCTTCCCGACCTATAACAACGTCGCTTACGTTACGTTTCGTACGCCCGTCCCAACCCGACTTAAACCTGCTTTGAAAATATCGTACGCGACGTACCGGAATGATTCGAAATGTAAATCTAATGTTAACTAAACAATGAAAGTTTAGTAAATTGGCAGAGACGCTTTGGCGCGATACGAAATTACAGTTTTAAAGTTAAAGTGTCAACAACGAAATACTTATCTAAAAGATCCAACGAGTCGCTTAACTTACCCGGCAACATTTAAAATCGCCTGCGACACCATCCGTTACGATATTTTATTAAAATAAACTTTTTATGTTTTTAACTATTATAAAATGGCAAAAAGATTAATTTCCAGGGGAGAAATTGGTTTATTTTTTAAACTTTTAAAATACTAATAACCGGTAAAATCGTCGTTCAGTCCGAACTTACTCGAAATACGACAACCCACCCCCGTCTATTTCCTCACTCGTCGACCACTAACCGTCAAAATTTAGCGGCATCGATCCCCAAATAAGGAAATCTCCGTGCAAAATTACAAAAACCTTTGACAAAAAGCGCAGTTATTAAGCATTTCCATACGTCTTATTCCTAGGAACGTATGGAAATGCCGAATTGTTCCTTTTGGGCTTAAAACTTCTATTCCGCGCTCGGAAATTGTTTGCATCTGCAGAATATAACTTATTGAATTGTTAGAACAAGACAAGGCGACACTGCCGAAGGGCTCCCTACTAAGATGGAAGACGCGATAAGAAAATCCGGAAAAGTCTGTATAATCCATCAGGTAGCCGGGCGATCAACTACTTCCTAGAAAATTACTCGCCTGACCCGCTTTGGGTTTATTTGTAAACAGTTTGATATTTCGTATGGCGAAATCCGAGTTAAACCTCCGACTTTACGATCGGTACGGTACGTATAGCAGAAATAAACGTCGCGTGCTGTTCTCCGGCGTCACATTTCCAGAGACGAGAGAAGTATCGAACAAATATATTTTACGTTGTTTTTTTCTTCACCACTAGGTGCATTAATAGACACGAGGCATTTTACATCATCTTTATTAATCTTCCACTAGCCGAGCTAATGTAGATTAATAAAGATGATGTAAAATAAAGAAAAAAACAAATAAAGGAAGACACGGTCTCGGAAATACATAAATATTTTACGTTGTTTAAATGTAGCCTATTTCGTTGTCGGATAGACTACGGAATAGCGTAGCGTAGACTTCTGGAAAAGTAGCTTCTAGTTTGCCACTTAATCCAGTCGCTACCAAAATATAAACGCGATAATCTACCAAAATCTATTACTAAAGAACGTACAAGTTACTAATGTGTACTTTATTACCGTCCGGGGACTTAGAATCGAGAAGGACAACGATTAGACCGAATTTCCTAATCTAAAGACGTGGAAGAACGGAAGAGCTAAATACGAACGAGTCCTCCGACGGGTCGAGTCGCGACCGTCACGAAATAATAACTGCCTCTCGCGAATGTCTATTTATTCGATATTTTACACGTAAATAGGAAGGAGACGTCATATTAATGCCCGGTCCGGTGACTTATAGTTCCTCTCTTCTGGTGGATTTCTCCTCCCCCGTCCGCATCGTTCCAATAAAATTCGTCGTAAATAGAATCGAATCCAAATTGAATTGGAATGCGATTTTAAGACCTTTCTCTTTGCAGGTAAGAATTTTATTTATTTGAATGTTCGTAACTAGAATATTAAGGATGCAAAACTATTTAACATTAAGAAACACGATTAGCCTGGAAATGTATCGGATTATTTCTCGCGTGTTTGTGGTAATACAGTAGTTCGTTCTGTCTATTTCCAGGTTTGGCTGGCAATTTTGACCACAATCGTTTCGGCAGGATTCTTTGTGACAAAAATAATTAATTACAACTTGAAAAGAGACGGAATTAGAGAACATTGGACTTTCCAAAAGACGTTTTGGTTTCTTTTCGTGGTGCTGAACAGACAAGGTAAAGTCACGCCTTTATCACGGACTTTCCGTAAGATAACTCGGGTAATCTTTTATAAGTTACTTTTTACAGCGGTTAATATGAATCCTATACGTCGATTTCCGTCGAGATTATCCGTGGGAATTTGGTTACTTTCGACGTTGATTATGGTGTCTAGTTACAGCGGGATTTTGATGTCGTACTTGACCGCTCCGTCTAGCCAATCCGTTCCCACCACGTTCTTGGAATTGGCCGAATTGGTGAAGAGAGGAATTTATTCTTGCGGAATATCTGCCGACGACACCATGTATAAAATGCTAAATGTAAGTGATTAATTAATAGGGTACTAACTAAACATTCGAGTCTCCCGGAATTCGCGTACAATTACAATTAAACAAAATTTGAGCCAAGTTCCATTTTGTCCTTTTACAGACTTGTGAATTTTATCGAAATATATATTAACGTGAAAAACAAAATTGACGACTTAAAACAGTTGATAACGTTACAGAAAGTAGCGTAAATTTTTGCATTTTAAGATTCGTTTTATTTATTTGTTGACTGCTTCTGTCGACCTTTAATTGTAATTGTCGAAGACAAATGTGTGCCCGTGCGAAAGTATTAAATAGAACTAAATCCAACATTCGATCCATCCGTTTCCCAAAGAAAGAGCGAAACATTTATTCTGGTTAACTTCCGAACACGGACGGGAACGTTTTAATGGCGCCTTATACAGGAATTTTTGTTACAAGAGTTTTTCAACTCGTGAAAAACATTATCATTTTTACAAAGTAAATCTAATTATCATTATTCTTGGGTGAATGGTAAGAAAACAAAAATTGAGAAACAATTTTTATTTTTATGCAATGTTTTTTATATGTATAAATAAAACTTTTTATATAAAAACAATTTTTTTATATGTATAAATAAAAGGACGAAAGTATTAAGTATTATCAACCGACAGAGAAATAGCTGATAATCGTCGTCGTTTAACTTTATAATGGCGAGTCTCTCCGTAGCAGCGCCGTCAGTCGCGTAGAGTCGTTTTTACACCGTACACACCGAGACATTAGGCTTAACTTACAAGCGCGCTTCAGTTTTAAAAAGGGAATATTTTTGACAAGGTTCGAGTTAACCGACGTTGGCGTTTGGCAGGGTCCGTAACCCGAGAGCGAGAGAAGTATACACTAAACTTATTCAGAAAAAAACTTTCGTTATAACAACCGTCAGAAGGCGCCGCTGTTTAAAATACAGGAGGAAGGGTTAAACGATGCTAAATGGCGGAGAAAGAAACTAAAAGCAATAAATAAAATAAAATATTAAAACTATCGCGACACCAAGCGTAATAATAAAATGTATATGCCAACAACTATAAATAATCAATAGTTATAAATTAAGACAAAAATGTAGAGATTAATTAAATTGTATAATTCGAACCGTTTTAAGTGGTTAAATTATTCGTAGGAATCAGGATTCGAATTCACGAAGATCTTATTAGAAGACGTTACTTCAAAAGATAACGTCGTGGACAATCCTACAAAAGTAGTGGCAAAGCTGCAAAAAGGACACTTCGCCTACATCACTACCGTACTTTATTATAAAGGAGTCATTCAGCCCGAAAAAGGACACTGGGTGACTTCCGTCGATTCTCTGGCAGAAATTCCCGTTTCGTACGGAATTAATAAGAGATTCCCTTACAGAAAATATATTGACAGAACGTAAGTATTTCTCATTATTTTCCCATTTTTCTACAATTATAAAATTTCATTTCTATTCAGAATTTCGACTCTGGCCGCCGGCGGATTGCTGCAGTCAAGAAAAAAAAGAATTGCCGATTCGGTCGAAGAGAAAACTAAAGAAATTCGACCTTTGACGGTGGAGAATTTTCTAGCCGCTTTTCTTTTGTTGGGAATCGGATACGCTGTATCTATTATCGCTTTGATTTTGGAGTTAATAATTCGCAGACAGTGGCCAGTCCGTAACTCCGTTTCGACAATCTCTTCTTAAAGCACAACACTTAATTTCCGAGTCTTTCTCTTCTTTAAACCACGCGAACGTCGGTTAAAGTTCGAACACAAAGGAAGAAAACTACGGTGAAGATAATTAAATAATTCAAATCGATTTGCTCTTTCCGCCCCGTGGGCACTAAGAGCGCTTCTTTTAGCGGGCCCATTACGGGTTGGGCTAGGTCCCGACATATCCGAACGGACCACCCCCGAAAAATTTCTGGGGATTTTCCGACCCGTAGCGGTAGGGTGCCACCTCGCCCTCTCGGCCATCCAGCCGAATACAATTGTCATATCGATATTTCTCATTCCAAACAAATACATTTCGGGAAAGTTCTGTACGTTGCGTGTATATTCTATGGCTTTTAAACGAATGTACGTTTGCACGTCGTCAGCCAGTTATATAATAAATAATTTAAATGCGAAATAACCAATTTTCAAAATTTTTATTTCTCAAAAATGTTTTCCCGATATAATTCTATTAGGAGCGTGGCACTCGATATAGTAACGTTACGCGTTAGTTTTTAATTTGTAAAAATGATTAAACTCGGCTTAAAAAATCTTTAAAATGTTCCCTTTTAAATTAAACGCGCGTTGGCTGTCTTGTCTTTCTCGTAAACGAAAAGAAACATAATTCCGGAGAACCCTAAAGCGGCAGCGACAACAGAAATGACGTTTACCACCGCGGGTTCGAAGCGCTCGGCAAACATCTCGGAAGAATGACGTCGAGGGCACCTTTGGCCAAAACTGGTATTGGTAGATTCCATATATAGGTAGGTAGATTTTCAGACATATTTCTAACTTCAGATTAAATTACACGATATAACATAAATATTAGAAACAGCTTTCTGTCTCGTTTAAATTATAACAGCTTCTCGCTGAAAAGTCAAAGAACGGCCGTTATACCCAGAAAACATTTGATTTAAATTTTAAATAAGAAAAATTGTTAAAGCCACGAATATCGACCATGCTAAAGTATTCGTACCTTAAAAATTTGGGTATTAAAATCCAGTCCGGTTCCTTATTTAGTGTTCAATTTTTTTCTTACTTCCAAATATGCCCGGTGGAAAGAACTTTGAGATTTTGTACTTCCACAGTTACGGTCGGTTGTAAAATTACAAATTAATAGCGACAGAACGAAATCTATACTAGCGACCGTCGTCCGGACAGTATCAAATACAATAAGAGCCGCGAGAAGTGAGAGAGAAATGCGAAGCGACACGCAACGGAGAAAAATTTCAACGCGAGATAGGTTAATTTGATATTAACCTATAGGGAATTTGATAAAATTATACAGCAAATTTTTCAAAAATAAAAAGTATCTAATTAATCGAAAAAGAGTATTAAAATGATAGTAAATTATATGTATAAATTATTAAAAGCGTAGACACAACGTTAAGATTATTTATTAATCAGAAGTGTTAAGTTCTGATTAATAAATAATCTTAATAGACAAAACAGTTTAAGAAATAGATCGAGGAAGAAAACTATATGAAGAAAGGATTAAATTAAAATACTGTACATTTACATTACATAACGGATTTTTTAGCTCCAACACACGCAATTAATTTTTCAACTAATTCTCTCCACAAAGGGAATTGTCTTTTTCTTGTAAATTTATTGTCGAATTTTCCACTGTTCATTTTCTTATTTTCTACGTATGTTACTAATATTTCTTTTTGTTCTTCGCTTATTTTTTAAAATAAAACATTGGACGTTTTCATTTTGTTTCTGCGTACTATATTGCTATAAGACAACTTTTAACTGTAGCACGTGTAAACTAATTCACGTTGATTTGTTTACAACTTGTTACAGTTAAGTTGATTGGTCGATTCATTATAGTCGCAAACCCAGATGCATTGTAAATAATCCCATCGTGCTTAACGACACACGCGACCGAGTGAGTACGACGTATTTCCGCTCGCCTTTCGAGTTCGCTCGAAGAGTCTAACTCGAGACTACCAATTATGTGAGTCATAGGGTGCGTTTACTTCTGAGTTAGCAGTGCTAATTCTGATAACCGGATGTGACGTCATTAGCACGTGTATTCGTGCTTGCTTGTCCAATTCGAAAGTGAACACATACGCTAACAAGAAATATGGCGGTTTCCAGCCATATTTTTGGGAAAAATCGGCTTCAAATATCAAAAGGTCGTTCCTATAACAATTAAGAGAATCGATAAAAAGAAACTTAGAAAATGTTCTTTCTTTGTAAAATCTTATTTTTATTTTCGCAAACGAAAATATGGGGCACTTATTATACAAAGTGGATTTTGAAGATATTAAAACTTTTATTTTTTGCAACTTTGTTTATTTGTCGAAATATTTGAAGATTATTTCCTTTATAGTCATTTCCTCCACGGATTCTTCCGGAAACTGAACAGGCCCGGTTGCTTGGGACTCTTCTTCCGTTATACCCGAAACGGGGAGATCCGCGGGTGGAAGAACAATCCTGGTGTTGTACAATTCTCTCAAATATTCGTCCGATTGGGGTAAAGCGTAATTAGCGCCTTCGTATTCCATGGCAGCCGCGTCTAAATGATTCTTTTTGTCTCGGTCGAGTTGCCACTCACTGGCAAATTGCATTCCGCACTCGTCGCATAGAAACGATTCTTCGCCCCTTTTCCAATCGGATGCGGTGACAGAATATTCCACGCTTTCTCCTTCTTCCAGTCCTTCTTCGGACGTCTTAAAAACATATTCGATACATTTGCAAATTATCTATTTACGTATTAAAAGCAAAATGTTCCCTCCTCACCGAAACAGACACTTTACGAAGGAGCTGCGCGCTAGTAGGTATATTCGCTCAATACCTACCCGAACTGATTTTATAGGGCGCGTTGCCGATGAAAAGCTAAAAATGGCGCACTAACGACTAGCGACATCTCGTCTGGTATCGGCTTCTAGGCTATATCGCCCGGTGGTAAAGGGCGACGTAATTGTCACGTAACAGTAGTTGTACGCGTTTATGACGGTCGTTACGCGGGGGAATAATGCCTTCCGGGATATGTTTTAAGGAGTAACTGGCCCCTATTCGGGCGTTACAGACGTCGATACCCGGAAAACTCCACGCGCCAACCCCCCACCGAACTCCCGGTGTTGGGGGAACGGAACCGCTCGGTCACTGGCGGGCCCGCGGTATCTTAATGGCCGTCACGACATACGCCCCGGTGTGACAGGATCGAAAAATACGTTCGGGAAACTCGTGGATATATCGAAAACGAAAGTTCTGTCACCGCCATTTAAAAAATCATTTCATTTACAATCTGAAATTGTCAAAACAGCTTGTAAACGGTGTTTAGTATAAAAGTGAAAAGGAACAATTCGCGTAGAGTTCAAGTACTTCCGCAAAGAATCCAACACTAAAGAATACTGTACTCGTGACGGTAATCGTTCGGTGTCCGACTATTACCGTTAACAATTCGATCATACGTTTAAGGCCCTGTACACACTAGGCGTTTTTCAACGCGCGTTTAACGCCGAGCTAACGCGCGTTAGCTCGGCGTTCGACGAGCGTTAGTTCGGCGTTTAGCACTGGCTCAGTTTGGAAATGGACGAGAAAGTAATTGATTATGTGTGCTCCTCCATCGTCGCTATAAGGCAGCACATATATCTCAAAGCGCCCGTAAAGTGCCCGCAAAACGCGCGTTTTAACAAAAATCTATAAACGCGCGCTTGGCGTTTGAGTGTGTACGGCTACATAGAACTCTTGGTTCTTTAAAACGCGCGTTGAAAAACGCGTAGTGTGTACAGGGTCTAACCGTCCCTCGGACGTTTCCTAATATAATATAATCTATGTTATTTGTTTTCTATCGGGTATAAAGGACGGAAGGAAATTGTGTGGGTTTCGTCCCTTCCCGTCGTCACTCGACTATTTCTATACCGGACGAGGAAGGGAAATTATTTCTTTAAATATACGAAATATTCGTCTACGAGCGAATAAACGAGCGAAAATTATCGCGAATTGATGGCAACCCCTGCCGGGCCGCAATTTTTAATCGTATTTCTAATTTATTTAATTTAAAATATATCCTCTCCGCCTGAAATTAGTAGCGACTCGCTCCCGCGCACCATACTTTTCCTTTAACAATAGAGTCTATCCAACACCTTTCGGGGTAAGATTTTTGAATGGAAATAACGCGACTTTCGCTTTTCGTCCGAAGTTCTGGTACAGTTAATCGAGGCCTCCTTCCCCTAAGGTTTCCGTATCTATTCTCGAATTTCTTTAATCTAATACCGTTCCCGAGATTAATGGACGACGGTGGGAATTTATAGTCTACAATTTTTCTTTCAAATCGCGGCCCAATTACTATTCTTTAGTTTACGCGATTGTTGGCGGTGTTTGTTTTTTCACTTTTCGCGCAAATAATATTTGGTGAATATTTTACGATAATCTCCGAGGAGGAGGAAAGACCCCGCCAATAGAAAGCGCTTTAAAAAGTGGAATTTGAGAATTTGGCGGAAATTTAGATATAAGAAAACCTACATTTTAGAAACAAAATTTCTGTATTAAGTAAACTTTTATCTGATTATTTTGACACATTTTTTATCTTGTAGATTTCAAAGTTTATAAATTTTTATTCTTACTTTTTCTGTAGGTGCAACTTCGCTCTGTCCGGCGATTTCTTCTTTTCTTTCCTCGTTTTCTCTACCGGAGATTTGTTGCCGGTGGGAAGTTCGCCGTTCGGAATGAATTAAATGCGCGAAAAGGTCATTTTCGTTCGAAAAATGTTTATGGCAAAACTCGCAGAAGTTGCGTTTTTCTCGCGCCGGAACACTTTTCTGGGAAGAGAAGCTGGTTTTTGTCCGAAATATTTTCATTTTATCAGATACTAGCCGCTACCCGCGACTTCGCCGGCAATTTGATAGAAATAACCTTCCCTCGGTACTTCACCCAAATTCTCCATCATTAGTTGTTACTAATTTGGTAAAATTACTGATTTTCGTTTGTTTCCAACTATGGACCGCTAATGCGCCTAAATTCGAGTGTCTAATATTATGGGATTCCGAGATACGATAAATCCGAGTTTAATTTTTATTTCGAAACGTAAATGACGTTATCCGAAAATTCCTAAAGTATAAATACGGAAAAATAGAGTTTCGGTTACCTCGGTACCTCTTTGTAAATCACGTTTACGGTACCGTCGTTCGGGGCCGAGACTTTTTAAGCCTTAATCCTCTCCCTCTCCTCCCGCGGGGGAATTTCCAAGAATCTCTTCTTAGTGTACATTTTCGTAACGTACCCTAACCCAGTACCATATTTCTCCTCTTTAGGTTTGGCGTTTTGCTCCGGGCAACGATGATTTAGTCAGTCCGGACGTGTAATCTAAATATATAAAATTGCTTGTCCTGACTGACTGACTGACTCACTCATTCACTCACTGATTCATCATCAGTACTGAATCAGATGAATCAGTAGCCCTAAGTCTCCATTCGTGCACTATGGGGTTCGCGTCTCGATAGCTATAAGGGTGCGGGAGATATGGGGCTGAAAGTGGTTTTCTATTTCGATTTTAAAAATGTTCGATCCGTTTTAAATTCGAATTTGTTATTGCATATTGGTTCCATTATAGAACGATTGTAAACGTTCCAGAAACGTTGAAAATAGTTCGTTTGACCGGACGTGAACAGGAGACGTTCAGAAATAGAATCGGGACCAGGTCTCTGATTAGTCTGGAAACGGTGGACCTAATTCTTGCATTTTGTGAAAACGGGTAAGATTGGCTATAATGTAATTATCTTAATCTTCGCTATCGTTACTTTATGCCCACAAATAAAAACCCAGCGAAGCGGGTCCTTGCAGCTAGTAATATAATAAATATTATAAGACATTAAAGAAATTGGGTTTTGTTTTCATTTTCCAGGCATAAATGCAGTTAAAATACAGAAAATTGTTCTACGATACTTACTTTAGATGTAGAGGACACTTCCTGGGAATGGGTGTGGAGGATATGTTTATTAAAATCTTTTCTCGTTTTAAATCTCGATTCGCAGAATCCGCAGCTATACGGCTCTTCCAGTAAATGTGTCCTCGTATGTAGATTCAAGTTCGTCGATGTACCGAATGTTTTACCGCAACGATCGCACAAATATGGCTTTTCTCCGGTGTGAATTCTTTCGTGAATAACCAACGTCCATTTATCGCGGAATGTCTCGAAACAATGTTTACAAGTTGGTTGTTTCTTTTCTCCCTGTTCGAGAAAAGCCGTCTTTAAAATAAAAACATTTTACTAAGAAGATATTATTTTATTTTCAACTTGGGTTAAGCGGAAGCCTAGCCAAAAAAATTTAGGTTCCGCGATAAAATCTGCCGAGTGTAGTGACGTATGAACGTCCCGATGCAAGTTTGGGACGCGAGGTGCAATTGTTTTAGCTTGGAATCGAGTCCTCTTATAACATCCTATACGCGAGCTAAAGTTACGTACAGTTTTATAAACAGCGGGGACGGTTTATCCGTAACGGAACGAACCGAAATCGTGATATAGGCTAATGTTTGACAAGGTAACGAAACCACGAAAATGGTAAAACTTGAACTAAAGCTAGAAGAAAATTTAAAAAATAAGCTTAAAAAGAATCTAACGCATAAATAATAATAACAGTCGTAAATATCCTTTTAATTCGTCGATATCTGTACCGCAAACCCGGTCGGACGTCCGATGGAACTGTACGTACATGTTTCGATACTAGTGATGGGACACCAACGTCAGACGCTCGCGAAGGGGTTAAATCGTTACCGAAAGCTGTCGAGGTTTATAAATGGCAAAATATGCGAATCAAATTCTTACTACTATTTTATAATCAATCGCCACCTTACAAATGTATCGAGTAATGCTTAATGGTGTTTTCGTAATACAAAACGCATCCCGTTTTTCCTCGAATGTTCGCAAACTAAATTCGTCTACACCAGTGTTTTTCAACCTTGTTGAATACTCGACCTCTTTACAGATTAAAAAATTCTGGTGACCCCCCCAGGACCATATTAAAACTATATCAGTGATTTTAAAAACTAGGTATTTAATTTTCTTTCTTTAAATATAGATCGAAAAACCAATTGTACTGTAAAATAAACAGGTACAGCCTTCTCACTGAAATTCTAGTTTTTTTATTGTAGTGTAGGACTTACAAACACTTGTCTTTTTCTTTCACCCGCGACCCCCCGTGTAAGGCTTTGGGACCCCCTGGGGGTCGCGACCCACAGGTTGAAAAACACTGGTCTACACTAAAACTACAAGTAAAGTATAAACGTCGATTCACTCGATTCTATTCGAGGAATGCGTAAGAGCGAACCATTCAAAAATGATTATAAAACGGTTATTAATAAGCGTACCGACCCCATTCTTCGGGTTTTGTTTTTATTAGTGCAGCTTTACACGAAACGAAAATGTTTTACGTAATACGGTAATAGTTTTGATACTTACCATGGATTCTACGAACGAGCAGAAATTGTGCGCCAATGCCAAATTCGGAAACAATAATAAAATGTACAATGGAACTTGTTGTCGTCTTTACAACAATTACTTATTATTTTTCCATTATTCTTGTAATTTCGATAAATTTTCGCAAATCGATGTTTGGACGTAATTTTGTCCAAAAATTTAAGCGCGGTACATAAATACGATAAATATATTTCCTAAGAAATTCTTAATATTAGATCGTTAGAAACAGCGGTCGAGCCAGGTAAAACGGAAAAGATCAGTTTATTTTTTTCGCGCAAGTTCTTACGCCTTTATGCCCTTTTTCATACAGTTTGTTATATAGACGTCTCTACTAGGACAGATCTTATTAATAGGATATATCGTACCGGTGTTCGGTATCTACAATTGAGGAAAACTTATTCGGAGAAAACGAGCAACGAGCGGACAATCTTTATTGTTCGCCCGGTATTTCACCATACACGCTTTGTGTTTCGGACCTTCGAGTCCCGCTTCGGCGGGTTTACGAAAACGCGGTGCTAAAATCAAAATTTATAACAATGCAATATATTAAGAGTACTCGACAATAATATATAGATTTTATCATGATTTACAATTTCTCTTTTGTTAAACGGGGGTCGGATAATCCATGCTCTACTATGTCTACAAAACTCTTCACAACATAATTAGCAACAAAATTTAAAAAATAAAAAAATAGGAAAAGTTACGACTATATGTTAAAATAAAATACAAAGTCTATTGTTTACATAAATTATATTTACCAAATATTCAATTTTGTAGTAAAATATTGTAGAAACAACGCGCAGATACTACACTAAACACGCAACGATAGACTTTAGCAAACGACTGCCCTAAGTTAATTTGCATAATTACGCGCGAAACATCCAGCTACTACGACGTATCAAATATTTAGATATTCACGCAAATCAAATTTTACGTCATGTTCCACAGATTTTTGTGTTTCGTCACTTTTTATCAGATACCGCCATCTATCGAGAATACCAATTAACGCTCCCATTCCAGATTACCGGATGCGCCGCCATCTTGGAACCTAAGGTAACATTAACCGAATTTCGCTTATTTTTTAAAAATATTTCTAAATTATAACAAATGTAGTTTTTCACATCTACAACTGGTTGCTTATGTGTTTTTACTCCGATGTTCCGTTATCTTCTGTTTTGACTTTTTTAAGTCTTCGTCCGTTATTAATTGTTGTTTTTTCAATTTTTCTAATTCCGTGTCCATTAACTTCAACAGATTTTTGATTCGACGGAGAATTATTCGCCAGTAATGCTAAACTTTGCTGAAAATTGGCCATTCTCCGCCTTTTAGTAGAATACCGAAGAGCCAGCGTGGCGTCGAATATGCACTAAAGGGCTTAAAATGCCACGAATCTCCAACATCGGGTAGTCAATAACAATTATGTGGCACACCGGTGGAGAGTCGCCCCACGTAAGACAATCATCGCCCTTAAATCCCATCTCGTTCTACAATTAATCCAGACCAACAACCGAAAGAAATCTGGAATTTATTAAAATACGAAAGACTTTCCGGTCGAAAACAATTTGAAAAATAGAATATTTATTATTTAAAACCTTACAGGTAAAGCACGCGCGTAGAAAAATACCGTTTACGATCAAAAACTTTGGACTATTAATTTTCTACCGGAATCGTGAACGTAGTTGTGAGAAGAGAACAAGTTACTCTGGAAGAACGGTTTTAAATTGTGGATGTTCACCTGCCTGGCCTGAAAAGATTGTTTTATTTTTAAGGTAAACATTCGTACAAAGTCGAAAATAAGATTGAAAATAAAATTACGTACTTTATCGGCCAAATCTTCTTCGGCTATTTCTATGGTGTTTACGTTGGAACCGTACCTGCTACGCAAGTACGTCATCTGTTCTTGAGCCAACTGTTTCAAAATGAACAGGAGTAATTCGTTGTTATCTTTCTTGTACGCCAAATATCTGGAAAACGTCTGTAACGAAAAGTAATAAAACTCGTATTTAATTTTAGGTTACCGTCTATTACCGTCTTTGTCTCCTTAACAAATATATAAATTGCACACGCCGCGCAACAGAAAATTTTAAAGACTGCGGTAGTAGCGCTTTAATATAAAAAGGAATGACAGAACATACAAACCTTTCTCATGTTTCTCATGACGCTGTATTTCTGCGTGTCGACGAAACTCTCCAAGGTGACGCGAATGGCCATGTCCACGTCGTCGTCCTGCACGTATTCGCGCAGATGCATTCTGGCGTGCGCTTCCGCTATGCGAATCATGGATTCTATGTGACGTACCGTAATCGGAACGCTTCCCGTGGCCTGAAAAGTACAAAAATTTCTGCTCTTTTTGTATGTGTACGAATTATATGTAAGAAAACAAATCTTAAGTATCCGATACATTTGGTATCCAGTCAAGTATTACACAATTTTACGATAAATTACTTTCGGAATCTGTAAAACATACAATACTTGGAAGAATTCGAATCTGGATGTTTGCTTGGAAATTGAAAAATAAAAGCAAACGTTTATTAGTATGGGGGTGCCCGTTTTTGTATCCCGTTACAGAGGAAACGGTTAATACCCGGAAAACTGGGTAACCGATAACTGGCCATCTTATAAACACGATACTTATGGGTATCCGTTTACGTGAAAAAAGACTTAAATTTACAATTATTTATGATTTGTAGACTAGTTCATTAACATCTCTCCTCACACTTCGGTTTGAGGAGAGATGTTAATGAACTAGTCTACAAATTTGGAAAAATATTGATCCGTTTTTGGATAAAATTACTGAGTGTTACAGAATGTTCTCTCAAATCCGTAACATTGTTGCCCGACATCATTTTTTAAATTTTTTACGTTTTACACATTTTACTAGTGACTAGGTCCCGTACCTTTCGGCTGCCTATCCCTGGGGAACACTAATAAGTTGCGATGGAGAGCATATATTTTAAATTAAATTAAATTTGATTAAAAATTGCAGCCTGTCATTATGATCGTGTCACAATGACTAATTGCTCGTTTCACTTTGATCTTTTTCAGCAGATTAAAATAAAAATTTTGACACGACGGGACCTGTGAAATACTGTTTAAACTTCGTGATCAAAGGTCTATTCAGATTATTCATTAAAAAATTATTCAGAAATGATTCTTATTGCTAGCGAGGGGAGGACCAGACGTTCGGGTCTCCAATTCAAACAAAACTTGGTGAGTGCGTAGTCCTAAAGCTCGTCATCCAAATAATAGGACCCACTTTTCCAGTTTCCAAAACTTGGGCCTCTGAAAATTTAGTGTTTAGCTTAACAGTCTTTGGAAGTTTCGAGTCTTTAGATAGCGGAGAGAATAAGACGCCGAGAACCAGAGCTAGATGATGTATGTTCGAGTATTCAGAGTTTTGGTTTAGTTTAGTTAATTTTATGTGTAACTTTATTATTTTACAGCATCATTATTAATACAGTAGCCCCTCGTTATATTGCGCTTTTTGGTGCCCCAATTTTTAAAAGCACTCGAATCAATAATTTTAAAATATCAATTGTCGTCGAATTTCTTTTGCAACAAAATACAGTTTTATTCCTACCATTGTCCTGGTCGGTGAGCCCGCGGGCCAATCCGAACTTTCGATCTTCACTTCAGCGAATATTAGTGAACATTTTAGACTGCCTTGTGTGGGTTAAGTCCCACCACGGATGCAACATGTGAGCCTCGGGTGGTTGTTAACTCTCGAGGAATCAATTATTGCCGAAACACTTTATGAAGATCCTGGACCTGGTGCCAATAACATCTCTACTAAAGAGCGTAAGGAGGTGCGGGAAAACGTCAGGCTCCTATTCTCTTGCCTCGGACAATTCCAAAGCATCCTGAGAGAATTGAGATCCAACCAACCTAAGAACCCTGCCCCAGCTATCACCTATGTCGTTGTTACCAAGTTAAACTCTAGGCCCAGTTCCACTATGAGAACTATCAATAAATCCCTTCGTAATAAGATTAATAATGAACGGAGATATAAATGGAGAAGATAAGATTAATAAACGGAGCTTCGCTCTGCTCCTTTACCCAAAAACAAACGGTCAAGGGGAATCTACTGACATGAAGGAAATAGAGTACGAGATAAAAAGAAAAATTAAACCAAATAAGTTAAAAATTAAAACTGTTAAGCAAGTCAAAGGGGGGTGGCATCTGTTTTAAAACAGACAGCCAAAAAGGGGCAGAAATCCTAGCAAGGGCTGCTGATACCTTCTTGAGGGATCCAGCCAAGTCAAGAGTAAAATATCTGAAAGTAGGCGATCCAGAATAATCTTGACTAATGTCCCAAACTCCATAGAAGCAACAAATATCTCCATAATGCACTAACAGAACGAGATACTGGCACACATAGATAAAGAGGAATTTATAAACGATACTAGAATTAGCATGGTTTTGCAAAGAAGGAACACAAGGGAGAACTGTAGGCAGATAGTCCTGTCAACATCGCCAAAAATAAGGAATATACTTATCAGGACTAAGCATATTGCGATGTCCTGGGCCAATATTTATGTCAATGATTACATACTGCTGCTAAGATGTTTCCAATGTTGCAGATACAATCATCTGTCTAGTAATTGCCCAGAAAACCAAAGGTGCAATCATTGTTCGAAGGGACACAAGTTTAGTGATTGCAGAAAACTTGGTAATATCCCATGTTGTATTAACTGCAAGATGACAAATGAAGAGCTCCCAGAACATAAAATGTTGTCAACAGATCATAATGCTTTAAATCCTCAATGTCCAGTTACACTAAAAATGAAGGCACGGACAATAAAACAGACAAACTGTGGAATTTAATTAATCAGACAGAGAATAATTTGAGGCTTTCACAAATTAATCTACAAAGTCTACAGAGAAGTAAGGTCACATCATCAGATGCCCCACAGAAAGCAACAACAGGCATGAACATCCTGATAATCCAGGAGCCACACACTTTCCATAATAAAATTGCCGTGTTTGGCCACCTTCATATAGTGTGCACTCACAATTCCAACACTCCACCGAAGGCCAGGTTTGTAATTCTAAATGACAAGCTAGACATCCAATTACTCACTTAACAACTACTTTTGCACCATCAGCCTACATCTCAAGAACATCACTTATATTTTGATTTCCTTTTACTGTTTGCCTTCTGAGGACATCTCATATCCTCTCCAGCTGCTGGCGGACTCTGTCAATCAACTTCAGGACTTTCTTGTCATCATCTCAGGAGACTTCAATGCAAAGTCGCACTCCTGGCACAGTCCAGTCGAGAACCCTAGAAGATATAGGGTAGAAGAAATAATGACTCAGCTTAACCTGGCTTCCCTAAACACCGGCCCTCTTCCAACTTTCTCCTCCACTAATGGAGAAAGTTGGATTGACATATGTCTTGCCAACAGGAAAATGGTCAGCAATAACATCATCTGCAACACTATCAACATCCACTTGGCAAGTGACCATAATTATATTGATATAAAGGTTGAGTATCCAATCCAATCCTGATGTACAAGATTTCTCAGAAGACTAACTGAGAATTATACCACGATCTTATCCAACGTTATTGGCACCCTGACTCTATCAACAATATCCAGGACTGTGCAGAACTAGATACGATGATTGACAATCTCAACAAAGCCATTCATCAAGCATATACAGAATCCACTAACATCAGTACTAAGAGATGCTCAGCCCCTTGGTGGAACTCTGAGCTTGCCAAACAGAGAGCAAATTTGAGGAAAACAAAAAAGAACTACAGAAAGGAAACTGTCCCAGATCAAACGCAGTGGCAGACTGCCTGCACTGAATGACAGAGACTGGCAACGTGTGCGTAGAATTGTTAGTGTGAACAGTGAAATAACTGCAGAAATCCGTGAAATAACTGCAGAAATCAATGTGGGACATATGAGGGATATGTCCGTTAAGACAGTGCAGCAAAATTTGGCGTTAATGGGCTATGACAGCATAAGACTGACTCGAGTGCCTTTACTAACAGCATGACATCGCATGCAGCACCTCGCCTGGGCTCGTGACCATACTAGTTGGACCCTAGATGACTGGAAAACCGTGGCTTGGTCTGATGACTTGCAATTTCAGTTGGTAAGAGCTGATGGTAGGTTTCAAGCGTGTTGCAGACCCCACGAAGCCATGGATCCAAGTTGTCAAAAGGCACTGTGCAAGCTGGTGATGGCTCCATAATGGTGTGGGGTGTGCTTACATTGCATGGACTGGGTCCTCTGATCCAACTGAACCAAACAATGTCAGGAAATGGTTATGTTCAGCTACTTGGAGACCACATGCAGCCATTCATGGACTTCAGTACCCAAACAAGGATGGCATCTTTATGGATGACAATGCACTATGTCACCAGGCCATAACTGTTCGTGAATGGTTTGAGGAACATTCTGGACAATATCAGCAAATGATTTGGCCACCTAGATCGCCCAACATAAACCCATCAAACATGTATGGACCATAATCCAGAAGTCCATTCGTGCACAAACTCCTGCACTGGCAACACCTGCCCAATTATGGATGGCTATAGAGACAGCATGGCTCAATATTTCTCCAGGGGAGCTCCAACGACTTGTTGAGTCCATGCCACGTCGAGTTGCGGCACTTCGCCAGGCAAAAGGAGGTTTGACAAGATATTAGGCAGTATCCCATGACTTTTGGCACTTCAGTGTACAAACAGTGGGAACAACTGCTTATTTAAGTAGATGTTACCTTTTGATATAAAAAGTTGTTTTAAGTACATTCTCCTCATTTACAAGTTTCTTCTGTGAATTTGAAATTTCACACCTTTACATGAATTAATGGTATAGTGTAAATTCACATAAAGAAGTGAAATTTCAAATTCAATTTGTAATGGGTAAGGAAAAGATCAATTTATTTCTAAAGAAAACTTTTAAAATGTTTATACAGTAGTAACTTTTAAATAAAGTTACTACTGTATAAACATTTTAAAAGTTTATAGAGTAAAAATTCTCTAAAAAGCGTTTAGCTTTTTAGAGAATTTTTACTCTATAATTTTATAAGTTTGGATGTTCTATTATATGTTCAATATTTATTTTTTGTTTTCAGTTACTGTATTTTTATGTTTATTGAAAAATACAAATTATAGGAATTTTTAATAAGCAATTTATTATGAAATATAGTACTGTATAATAAAATGCCAACTGATATTTTGTTTTAATATCACGGTATTCGTCTTTAAATGTACATCATACTTTTTTTTTAACAATAGAGTCATGCAGGTCATCTATTAACTGCTTTCAGAGGAAAACTTTTGAATTGATATATTGTGACCTTCATGAGATTAGGGAAAGATGGACAGAGGACATTGGAAATTTATAGGTCTACAATTTTCTCAAATTGCAGCCCAAAAAACTCATCCCAAAATTTTTCTCAGTCTATAAAAAAAAATCCCAATCTGTAAACACTGGGTGGCATCGCATAAAACTGTCTTTGATTCTCAATGTCACTTCCTACTTTTCTTTCCAAACTTGCCATGTAATGTCACTAAATCCCTAGATGTGTGGTGCACAGGACTCCCATTGTACTGAAGCTTCATATTTTGCTGTTTTTCCTGAAGTGTGATTCAATTTCATGCCGAATATTGAAACAAGCAGACTAGGATTTTATCACCAATATTATATTTTTATCACCACTTTAATAAAAATATCACCAAGTGCCGATTTTGGCCCTATACAGCACCATCCCTAATATATAAACTAATAATGTTTTTGTATTAAAAATTTTTATAATTTAAACTACAGTGGGTGTTTTAAATAAAAGTAAATAATATAAGAAGCAGTATTTTATTCCATAACATAATATTCTTTCCTTTCAAAGACTTGAGAACCCCTCACATATTTGCACACCCCTCAGAGTCCATAGACCGATAGACCACAAGTTCAGAAATACCGCACTACCTGGTTATGTTGGGTACCATGATAAAAAAAATTTCTAGCATCTGGCACTATTTACTAGAAATACCAAATTTTTTACAATTTTACAAAATACATATAAACTACTCACCATGGATTCTCTTCTTAACTCGCTGTACATCTTTGCTATTTTATTCTGATCCATGTTATGTAGTTTCGGTCGAATTTTCTCCTTCGCATACAAAATATATTTCTTCAACAGATCTTGAGATATGATGTCTGCATTTGTATTATTCTGAAATTAGTTTAAAAATAAATTCATTTTAGATGATATCTTAAATCATTTAAAAGATATTAAACTGATAAATTAATCACTTTAATACCTTTAAAAAGTGATTTGGATTCACTGTAAATATATTACATACACTTTCATTTATATAAGAGTTGTGCAGAATAGAAATGTACAAATCTGCCCATTCCAAATCCCTAAATTTATATACTGATCATCTGCAACTTGCTTTGATTCCTTAATCAATGATCTTTTAGAGATCATTGATAATGATAAAGTCTCAAATTTATTTATCAATCACAAAGTTCGTAAAACTAGAATCTTTAAATAATGCTTTTGTACAAAATACGTAAATATATGCACTGATTGTGCATGATTCCTCAAAATTCCAATTTTTTACCAACAACTTCAATTCACAATTCTTAAAACTTCAATAGCCCCAATGCACATGTCTAGCTTAAAACGACACAAAATTCTGTTTCGATATCACCAAATAATAATGCCGGCAAGCTGAATATTTCATTAATCTATACTTGTAAGACAATAGTGAGGAGAACAGTTAATTTATGTTTGAAATTTATAACCATGTATTTCTCCGTGGCTCCTTTTTACAGAAACTTGTCATATTTTATTTTGATCTTTCTCGAGTCAATCTTCCCTGAACTGATTGAATGAAGCATAATCGTTATGACATATACAAAAAAGATTTATCCACAAGTGAACTGTTTCAAACATTTATTTTTGTTAAATTTCCTTTAAACCCAAACAATTATATACACATATAATCAAATCATGGCCTTTACTGTATTTTTAGTTTTCTAACTTTTTAGTGTCAAATTACCAATAATTGTTTATAATTATTAAAATCTTTCCTAGGGTCAGAGTCCACTTCCTAGAACAACTGCGGGTGGTGAGAGTCAGGTTAGTTTGCATAGTAAGTCATTGTCATGGTGATATTGTGTACTGACATGATTGGCCAATTTGAACTAGTAATAGCTGCTGCCAAGAAAAGGTCATAGAAGACCACGATTGACTAAATTTGAATTGGTGAAGGAAGAGACAGTTGGCAAAACATCACGCCATGTGACGGACCTGAAATAGAGCTATGACTAGCGTAGCTGGTCAGCTGTATAAGGTCGACGTGGAAGTGGGAAATTCAAGTTGGATCCATCTTGCTGACTGAGTTCTAATTTGTTATTGGCATACCAAACGGTCATCAATTGTGAAGCTGTTATAAATTTTAACTTTACTCTCGGCTGTACAATAGTTCAGCAACAAATCAGGTAAAATGGCTAGCTTAAAAAGGAAAGCGTTAACGTTAGACTGCAAAGTAGAAATAATTAAAGCAGTTGAAAGTGAAAGAAAAAAAGACAGATGTATGCAGATTTGGTTTTTAGTAAATTCTACAGTGTGCAGAATAATAAAAAACAGAGAGAAAATTTTGAAAAGTGTTCAAGATGGAAAGGGACAAGAGAAAAAATTAAGTTATGTGAAAAAGACAATACTGATGCCGCTATAATTAAGTGGTTTAACCAATGCAGAAGTTCCAACTTACCACTAAATGAACCGATACTACTGGAAAAAGCAGAATTTGGACGACTACTAGGCAATAATAACTTTAAATGTTCTAATGGATGGCTAGAACGTTTTAAACAAAGACATGGCATAAGTTTCAGGAAAGTGTGTGGAGAAGCAAAAAGTGTAAATTTACTGGATGTTGAAAACTGGTTAAGAGATGTGTGGCCTAAATTAAGGGGAAAATATGCAGATGAAGACATTTATAATGCAGATGAAACCGGAATACTTTACAAACTTTTACCAGATAAAACATTTAAATTTAAAAATGAAAAATGTGTTGGTGAAAACTTGCAAAATATAGGCTAACATCTTTTGTTTGTGCTAATATGACTGGTACAAACAAAAGAAGACTTCTTGTAATAGTAAAATCAAAGAATGCAAGATGTTTTAAAAACATCACTAGTAAATTACAAAGCCAACAAAAAGTCATGGATTATGTCTGAGATTTTTGAAGAAGAAATTCAAAAATGGGATAGAGAACTTATCGGTAAACGAAAAAAAGTTTTACTCCTTGTCAATAATTGTGCAGCACATTCAATTTTAGAAAATTTAAAGAGCATTAAACTTGTATTCCTTCCTCTGAATCGTACTAGCGTACTTCAGCCAATGGATCAAGGAATTATAAGAAGCCTTACATCTCATTTCAGAAAAATTCTTTTACAAAAATTTATTACAAATATGGAAGATAACAATAAAAAGACAATTTCTTTATTAGATGCAGTTGATTTTTTCAAAAATTCTTGGTGTAAAGTTAGTTCACTAATAATAGCAAACTGTTTTTGCCATGAAAAAATGTGTAATAGTCAAACACCTCTTACATTTATGAATGATGAAAATAATGAGGATGATGACATTCCTCTATCAGAATTGATTGAAACACTTCAAAATTCAGAAAACAGCACATTTTTGTCATCTGCTGCTACTGAATATGAGAGTGTAGATGAAGATTTAATAACATCCAAATTTTATACAGATGCAGATATTGTTGAGCAAATTAAATCTTCAGATGAAAAAAAAATGTGGGATGATGATGATGAAACATCAGACAAAGAAAATGTAGTGCCGTCAACCAGGGAAGAGCATAATGCAATAAGTATAATATAAATATTCGTCTATAATAACGTATCTTTTATTACCAGGACTTATTATACTGGTATTACAGAAATATTACAAAGTTTTACAGAAAAACATTTTTTATTTTACTTAATATACTTGGTATAATATATACTTAATATACAGGTATATTAAGTAAGATAAAAAATATTTTTCTGTAAAACTTTGTAATATTTCCGTAATACCAGTATAATAAGTCCTGGTAATAGAAGATACGTTATTATAGACGAATATTTATATTTTACAAAAAAAACATTGAGGCATTCTAATTAAATAATGCAATAAGATTAATGAAATTGTTTTACAGGTCTCAGAAAACTTTATCGGAAATAATGAACAAAGCCTACGATTTAGAAAATGACATTGATAAACAATTTTTAGGTGAAAAACACCTACAATCTAAAATAACTGACTTTTTTAAAGTGAATATTGAATACTGTTTGTGTCATTTTAATTGGCATACATTAGTTTAACCTTTTGTTGCCTTTTGATTAGATATTATTCTCAAAACCAGAAGTGCCACCATTATCAAACTTGAGACAAATAAAAATTTCTTATAAAAGGTAATTTTTGAAATTTTTAATTACATCATTGTAAACTTAAACATAATAATGTAAATAAAGTAGATTTAAACATTTAGTTTATGCTTTTATACATATGATAATAAATTATTATTACCATAATAGATACAGTATACTGTATTACCATTAAGAAATACAGTGGGTGATCTGTTAACGAACAGATCGGATAACAAACACTTTTGCAAAGAATTTTAATGTTTGGATAACGAACACCCCATAGAACAAACACAGAAGAAGTGATGTAAAATAATGAATACTGATTGGTCTTCCCTTGTCTTTGGGCAACAATTCGAAACTTTTCGGAGTGTGGGAGACGTCGACATCGACGCTCAAGCCAGTATATACTGATCAGATAGTATTCCTCCAAACTTTGAAACTCTCCCTTGTAATTCCAGCCTTTTATATTTCTGACAAAACAATTGTTTTATATATTTGCGAGACTGCCGGGTAGGCACTTGTTACGTTTTGCGTCTGTTTTTCTTTTCGAAAGATGAGAGTATAATAGCAAAGGTATAAAGTGAACAGAAAATGTCTGATGTTGCTGGGCAGTATGGCTTGAACAGGTCTACATTAGGAAGCAGTTCAATCTTATCTAAGAAAGATACAGTATTATCAAGAAGACTCAAGCAGCTTAAGAAGGAACAAAATTCACATCTGAGAAATAAAGAACATTGAAGAGTTCATAATGGAACCTGAAACTGATCTGACAGCAGAAGAACGCCAAGAAACTAGGCAAGATATGTTATTTTCTGAAAAAGAGGATTAATGCCGATATCTGCTATTAGACATCTTTTGAAGAAGTGGGAGGATGTCAAAACAACGGTCTTAGAATGGCCTTAGAGGTTAATAGTCTTGTGGATCTCTACAATTACAACGCTATTAATTACTTCTGAAAAACCCTGAAGAAGAGAGAAAAGCAATCAACATTAGACAGATTCTTTAACCCCCCACAAATCGAAAAAACGTGACTAATAAAAATGCAAGACTGTGTATGTATGTATTTTTATTATTACATATAAATAAACGTAGTAAGAAAGTATATATATATTTTTTATTTTTTTGGGGATCTCCAGAATGAATTAATTAAATACCCATTAAAACCTATGGTAAATCGATAATCGGTTAACAAACAATTTGGATAGCAAACAGTCTTGGAATGGATTATGTTCGTTAACTGATCACCCACTGTACAGTAATTTTATGGTAATACATACGATGTTAAATTAGAATGGATTTTATAATAGAACCCCTTAATGCCCATTGACGAGTTAACTCGTCAAGTTTACATAGCGTTATGAAAAACTCGGGGGTTAAGGCCACTTTTGACATTTTTTTTTATTTTTGGAATGTTTTTCAAGTCTCCAAATTTTTTAAAAATTTTTACCAGCGCAAAAAAATTTTATCGTGATTTTAATCAACCTTTAATGGCATGCAATTAACGCTTAATTGTTTTTTAATGCAATTTTTTTATCAAATTTAATCAATCATTCTAAAGTTGTAGTACACGGATTTGACTTCGGTAAAGTTATTTAAAGCTACTTTCTGATGTCAAAAACGACCTCCAATAGTTTTTTAATTTTTTTAATTAATATATTTTATTATATATACGTTTAATTAAGTCGGGGGTCGAAAATCGCAATAAAAATTTCAATTTTTTAAAAATATTTAAAAATATAGATCTAGCTAGTATTCACCCTACTTTAAATCCTTGTCCTCCCGGGACGTCTATGAGAATGTCCCGGGAAATCCGACTCCAGATGTTCTCAAGGTCATCCAGCTGTGTAAACAATGACTCAGTGTCAAATTTCACAGAAAGGCGAGACAAAGGAAGTTAATCTTTGAAGCTTTTTCTTCAAAATTAACACATTTCTTTCGTTTTTTCAGTTTTAAGTATTTTTTATGCTTAATTACATTAAATTCATTAATCAGTGGGCGTTAAGGGGTTTAAACACACTTGGTACTTCTTATGAGACTGAAATTATGACCCTGTAGATAACGACACACGGTTAGAACGTCAAAAAATTGTTGGTCCCATGGATGACGTTATAATCGGGTTAATTTGTACTTCTAAAACTGAAGAATTATGCAAAAATTATAGACTACATTTACATTAAGAACTTTTAATAGCAAACATTTAAACATATACAGGATTTCAAAACTATTTTACCTCATTTGATTCTTCATTTTGAGCAACGAATGACGGATGATGTTTGATATGGCTGTTGACTACAAACTTTGCCAAGTTTTCATCCTAGTGTGAATTGTCAAATAAAAGTTAATAACTGAAATCCAAAGTCTTACTTGAAATATTAAAAAATTTACCTGAACTGGATCGACACTATCTCTTACGACACACAAAATGTCGAATCTGTTTAATATTGGTTCAGATAGATCAACCTGAAAATAACGTATAATTGCATGTAAATTATATAAATTGATGCAATATTACCTCAATTTATGAAAATTGAATCTACTAAAACTGACTTTGATACATGATAGCTCATTTAATGGAAATTTCGATGAACTAATTAAGTTGTAAGACTTTTTTACTAAAAAAATATATTCATTTTCTGTGCATTTTCAAATATGCTGTTTTGTTGCCACAACATACTGTATGCTACAAGTTATGTGTTTAGAAGCAATTTTCATTCATTTTTGTTTTGTCAGACCAGTAAAGTGTTAGTTAAAAAAGGCAATGCACAGAATACAGCACTTGAATTGTTCACCCATAAAAATTAAAAAAATTCCAATTAGATTCTCACAAGAGAAGAAGCTAATACTTCTACCAGATTGCTTGGTTATCCAATCTTAATGTGGATCTTTCTCTGCTCTTTTGTAATCTGCTGTGCCTTCAAGCACTTCAATATCAAAAAATTTGAAGATATGGAAGACCAATTTATTATAAAAATAATAAAACCACACTGATCATATCTGCCGATAATTAATTAGAACGTAAATAAACATCTATAAACCTGATTCTTACATTAATGCCAAACGACTGACCAATGTAGTCCAACAATTATTTGATATTGACTAATTAAAAATATATTTTTCAATTATGTATGAAAAGTTAAGAACTCACATTTTCGGAAAACGTTAAAGATGGATCGTAACGTCCGCCAATAGGATTGGCGGCAGCAATAACAGCACACCTCGCCTGAAGGGAGGTGACAATTCCGGCCTTCGATATGGATATGCTCTGTTGTTCCATGGCTTCGTGAATACTTGTTCGATCTTGATCATTCATCTGTAAAAGCAATGAATGAATAAAAAATCCCATACATCATATTTATAAATGTTTACAGATTAGCAAATTTTAATCAAACTATATTAAAAAAACAAAAATGTAACATGACGTGGTCCATAAAAATTGGTAATTACCTTATCAAATTCGTCTATCAGACAGACTCCCTTGTCGGCCAACACGAGAGCACCAGCCTCCAAAGTCCACTCTTTGGTGACTGTACTCCTCTGGACGTAGGCGGTGAGACCCACGGCCGACGCTCCATGTCCGGTGGTGAACACGGCCCGGGGAGCAATCTTCTCCACATACTTCAAAAACTGAGACTTGGCAGTGCCCGGATCACCACAGACCAAAACATTAATGTCACCTCTGACCCTATGTTTTTGTCCTACACAAATGCAATAAAGAAGGTATGAGACATTGTTAAATAATTTTTTTTTGGTAACACAAAGTAGCACTTACCAGGATTTTTGGATTCTCCACCCAAAAGACTGAGAGCCAAAGCACGTTTAATTTGATAATGGCCATATACGGATGGTGCTATACTGTTTACAATCTATAAATATGAAAGTAGTTTGACATTAGCAAAAATACTCAAATTATATAACAATTAATATATTTAAAAATTTTAAAAGCACTAATTAATATCAAAAATCTACAAATTAATTAATTTGAAAAACAAACTAAAATTCCACCTTCCTCAATATTAATGTGAGACCTGTAAGGCCCCTGGGTCTAATTTAATAATTTTATTAATAATATTAAATATTGTCATCAAATATTATTTCATTTTTGTGAGAAAAATAATGTTTTAAACGTGGGAAAAGGCAGATAACAGATGTTACTTCCTTTCACAGAAGTTAGAACATCCTCTGACTTTCCCTTATCTGGTTAAAATCCCGCTCAGATGGGAAATGTTTACCCCTCATTCATTCCCCTTTCATCCGTTCACATGAAAGAGTTTCTGGCAGATGATTGGTTGTAAATCATGAGATATAGGGGAAATGTATCAGAATTCGAGGAGTTCATCGACAGACCTGGAAGTGTCCAGACTCCACATGTTTTCCTCCTGATGACCAACGCCCTTAGACGAGTCACATAGAATAATTCCCGAGTTAGCACTTAGAAGTTATACTTTGACTTTGTGCACATATCGATCTCCCATGGAAAGAAGTAAATGAACTTTATCTCCGAAGAAGCCTACAGAGAAGACAAACGACAACTAAACCAGGTTGTATGATTTAACAATGATTGTAACTCTCTCTCTCGTATCGGTTATAATATAGTTTGTATCTCTCTCAACTATTATCTTAATTGTCGTATTTACATCTCTCGTTCATTGATATTTTGTATTAGTTTTACTTATATTGAATCATTAAATTTACTCTTGTTTGTTTTCTATAAGATATGTCTTTTAAATTGTCTCTGAATCAGATCTATAAAGTAATCGCACGCGTGTTTGTCCGCAAATTGATAAATTGACAAACTGATGTCGGGACCCTGACGTAGGAAGAAGGTGACCTACCCCACCAACTTCCGCACTAATTACACCCCTCTGTAAGACCCTCCGCCACTCGACTTCTTATAAGATAGGAAAGCCATTCTTGTTGACGCTCGAGAACTATTCTTACTGAATAGGTTGCCGATTAAGTGTTACATGAGTACTACTTACTCCGTAACCCCGGCTGATCTCACATTAAGAATAAAAATGTTTTATGTCAAATTAAACTCAATATAAATAAATGTTTTATGTAAAGATAGTAAATGTCAAAACATCTCAAAATCACTCTAATATCATGTTTAAATAGTCATAATTTCATCTTACTCTTTCTCCAATATTTTCGTCCTTTGCCAAAGCCACGATAGCCTTCACATCTTCATCCGTCAAGTTTTTGGTGGCTGCCTTATCGTCCTTCTTTGCTATGTGATTGGCAACGATTACGGTGGAAAAGACAGGAAATCCATTTGCCATGTTTAGGGATCCGTCATAACTGTTTGTATATACTCCAGTGAGTTCCTAAGAAATAATTTAGTAAAGTTTAGTGTAAGAACATCAATAAAAGTAAAATGATTTATAAGAATTTAAATTTAAAATGCACTTTACTACATAAATAAACATTTCATTAGTGTTGTAACGAATAGTATATTCGGCCTCAGGCCGAATACTGAATATTCGGCCAGGTGCGTGGCCGAATAGCCGAATATTCAGCCAAACTATTCAGCTTGATTAACGCATATACGAAAATTGGCACGCAAACAGAATTATGGCAAGGATCCTGCCCTCTATTGGCCCACTGTCACTACGTTTCACCAATCGCATTAATTCTTGACAGTTCAGACAAGAGCGTCATGGCAGTATGCGATAAGTGATGATATCAAATGTGGATAACAATGAAATGACCTACAAGTGTAAATAACGGAAGAAGAACAGAGAAGAACCGCAAAGTGAAAATGTGAAAATAAATATGAAATTGAGTTGATAACATAATCGAACAAGTCGAGGCAGCTTATTGGCCCGAAATTTGCGGCCGTAAATGCCAAACAATTGTTGTCGTAGACTTCAGAAAGCTAAATGCTTGTAATGAAAGTCACTTAGCGTGCACGGGCGAAAGCCTGGAGTCGTTCAGGCTACCAAGCTGTTTCGAATCTGTGAAATCATAACTGTGACTTATACCGACGTCCTGTCTGTCTCTTTTCTCCGTTATCACCAGGCTATAAGTCACGTAATTGTAAAATGAGAAATCTATGATGGAAAAGTGACGAATCGAAAGTATCGTGAGCGTGTATTACGATGTATGCATAGGCATACGTGGACTAGAGCGATAGAGGAAAGAGAAAGGGAAGCGTAAATGTGAGTGCTTAAAAAGAAGGATAGGCAGGGTCAGACCCTCAGATGTGCGACGATTCTCGAACAAATAGGTTTGTACGTCTGCTGATCTTTGTAATTATAAATTGTGAATACATGTGACTAATATTATTATTTTTATATTTTGTGCATGTTATAAGTTATAAATAAATATAAACAAACAACACTAACCCGATAACATTAAATCTAAATACCAAAATGATTAATTTACTGTGTTTTTGTTATTTCTTACTCCTGTTTTCAGGTATTCGGTATTCGGCCGAATAGTGATTAAATATTCGGTATTCGGCCAAATAGCGAAAAATAGGCCGAATACCGAATAGTAACCGAATATTCGTTACATCACTACATTTCATGAATAAACAAGTACAGCAGTCCCTTGATAGTCCGACATTTTTTAATCCGACATGCTCGGTAGTCCGACGCACCTCCCATCAAGGTACCAGTCCCCGTTACGTGTCTGCTTGCACAGAAGCATGTCGCGACGTGAATCTCCCCACCCAATTCTTACACGATGACACACATTTCATGTGTTTTCCGTGAGCAGTTCTGTTCGAACAGTTAGAGTAGGGAATATTGTAGTCTACTGCTAGCAAAACAATGCCAAATATGTAATCACTTTCAGTAATCCAACACCCCTTTGGTCCCATACCTGTCAGATTATCAAGGGACAGCTGTAATCAGTTTTTAGAAATGATTGCATTATTACATAATCTGCACATTTTTAATAAATTGAGTTTCTGTAATATGAAATGTTATTGATTTTTGTACGTTTTGCACAAAAAGAAGACAATTTACAAGGGTTCTACTCAAATTTTTGTTTTAAATTCCATGACTTTCCTGTCTTTCCCTGACCAACTTTGTACAAATTCCCTGACCCTTGTGCCCCTTACAGTATAGCACAGTGACGAAATAAAACAGCATTTGACTTACTATAAACATACTAAAAAATTGAAGAAGCAATAGCATTAGTTATTTTTTTCTAATTAGAAAAAAATAACTAATGCTATTGCTTCTTCAATTTTTTAGTATGTTTATAGTAAGTCAAATGCTGTTTTATTTCGTCACTGTNACTGTACAATCTGCCTTGTCCTTTTGTTTCAACCAATCAGTTCGGAATTTGCACTTTGGTTGCGTCATATTGAGTGGATTCAAACCATTACATCTATATTCTAACTTGGAATCTGCTATAAACCAACAGTTTGTCGGTATCATTCCGCTAGAGATTTTTATTGGTCAATCACAATTGAAAGAGAGTAAACACGTGCTGACCATGTGATCGGTTACTTCTCTGCACATGTTAAAATAGAACAGAAGAATAAAAAAATTACCAATAAAATAAAGCAATACTTAGGCCCTGTACACACTAGGCATTTTTCAACACGCGCGTTTTAAAGAACCAAGAGTTCTATGTAGCCGTACACACTCAAACGCCAAGCGCGCGTTTATAGATTTTTGTTAAAATGCGCGTTTTGCGGGCACTTTACGGGCACTTTGAGATATATGTGCTGCCTTATAGCGACGATGGAGGAGCACACACAATCAATTACTTTCTCATCCATTTCCAAACTGAGCCAGTGCTAAACGCCGAACTAACGCTCGTCGAACGCCGAGCTAACGCGCGTTAGCTCGGCGTTAAACGCGCGTTGAAAAACGCCTAGTGTGTACAGGGCCT